TTTCAATCATATAATAATATTAACTTATAGAAGTAAGTTGAATTTCTTATTTTACTATTTGTAATTGATTTGCAAAGATTTTCTTATGTAATTTTATTAAAATTAAAATAAAGCTTTCATGATTGAAAAAAAATGTCATAAACAAATGTTAGTACTAATGTAAGTCGTGTCTATTTTAATTATAGTGAGTATAAATGTTGTCTTTAGGTATATAGTTAGCCTAATAATTTAGTAGCATGATTTAAGATGCAAGGAGTTGATAAGTAGTATAACAACATTTAAAGGGTGTCTTACTCAAATTTAGAATTTTACTTTTTTCCCTCAAAAGTCCTATTAAAACAATTCTTTATTAAATAGGTATAAAAGATATATTTTTGTTTCAATGCTTCCTTGATTAATTGATGTAAAAATATTACTTATCATAGCATTTTATTAATTACACAACAAGAAAATATTTAATTAGCTACCAAATTTAGCAACTGAAATAAATTCATAGCAAAATAACAACCAATTTAACGATTGAAAAATATTCGTTACAAATAGCAATCGAACAAAATTAGTAGTAAATAGTAATCAAATTTAGAAATCGAAACAAATCTGTGACACATAACAACCAATTTAGCGATAAAAAAAATTCGTTGTAAATTACAACCAAATTCAAAAATTAAAATAAAATACTTAACAAATAGCTATTAAATTTAGTAATTGAAACAAATTTATGATGAATAGCTACCAAATTTAGCAATTGAAAATCCGTAATAAGTGTTATTTATACACTAAATACAAAAAATGATATAAAATTTATTTTTTATAATAACAAATTAAAGTTCTTCTTAAATTCTATTATTTTTTGATTAAATATTTTGAATATAATGAAATTTATGTTATTAAAAATAAAAATAGTTTCTTAATTATTTTAAAATTTTATTTAAATTTTTTAAATTTACCTATATATGTTTATATATTTTTCTATAATATTTTAAAAGATAAAAACTAATTTATACACATATATATATGTAGAATTTTTAAAATGAAAAAATAATAATATTTTAAAAAACATAAAAATATATTTAGCATATAAAAATGATTTACAATTCATATTTTTTAAAAACAACAAATTAAAATCATTGTCAAAAATAAATAAACTACAATTATTAAATGTTATCTGAAATTATAGTAGACAATGATTATAAAATAGAAAAGTAGGTTTATAGTTATAATTATTGATAAATAAATTATTTTAAAATTTTTAAAGTAACATAAAATTAATAATTTTTATGAATAACATAGTTACGTTCACATAATAAACAATAATTATCAATTTATGTTTAAATTTTAAAATAATAATTATAAATCATTATAATAAATTTAAAATATATTTTATAGTTGTGATCAAAATAATTAATATCAAATAGTTTTAAAGCAAGACAATATTTAATTGGTGTTATTTAATATTTAAATTACAAACACAAATTTATATTTTATAGCTGCAGCGAGAGTGTCGTGACCAGAAAAATATTTAAAGGGGGTTAGGGTTCAGGAAAAGTTATTTCTCCCTCTCCCTTCGAAGTCCTTTGGATCCTCCCATTCTCAAACTCTTTTTCACCAATTAAATTGTCTCCAAAGCCGTTCAAAAGCTAGATTGAAGGTCGAATCCGTGTAGGGAACGTTTGGAGGTGAGTTTTAATGGTTAGAGTTTCAGTTTTTTATCCCCTTTCTCTGTTTTCATGGTTTCCCTGGGTTCTCATGAAGTTTCTCCATGTGTTTAGGATGAAATCTATGAGGGGGGATCACTTCTTGGTGGATTTAGCGTGTAGGACATCGATCTAAGGTAAAAGGGGACTCTACCTTACTCTTTTTATGTGTAATTGATTGAATATGGAGCTGTGGTTGAGTTAGGAGGTAGAAAACGTGCAGAGAATGAGTTGATTGAGAAATGTAATATGGGTCATGTGCATCGATATATGAGCATTGTGTGTGTTTACCCGAAATGGATGAATGTGAATGGTATGCTAGGTGTTGCATGATAGAATGAATATTGTAAACAAATGTGGGCTCGAGAGCCGTGTAATATAGATGAATATTGGCCATGTATCGTGTGATGTGAAATTAATGTGGGCCTAGTGCCGTGTATTTGAATGCAATGCGGGCTGTGTGACGTATGTAAGCATGAATATGACATGTGCGAATGAAATGTATGAGAATGGGGTGCGTAGCGCCCTTGTAATGTGTTATGAATGGTTCAGCGATACACTGAGAGTGTGGAAGATGAGGACGGTAGAAATACCTTGGAAAAGAGGGAGTGGTGGTGACACCAACTGTGGAACGGGTGCACCACGGGCTACACAATCTCTTCCTGACTAGACCTTTGACCACTACTTTTGTTGAGCGACTTGTTACTGTCCACATGGTGTAAATCTGTGATCACAATGCCATAGTGAGTGTGGCTGGCGTGCGTGTACATGGGATCATTATTAATTATAATTTTGAATGTGAAATATTGTTGGTGCCATGAGTGCATTGACTTTAAATTGAATGTACTAGATAACGATGCTGTTTGTGTTATATCTGTATCAATGCATTGGGAAAGAGTCAGAAGTGAGACTTTATGTTTGATTGTGTTTTGGTAGTGTAGAGTACTCACCCTTACATTCATTTTTCAGGTAATCAAGACATCAGCACCAGACTCAGTGAAGGGGTGGATGAAACTGCTATAGGACTTAGGATATTATTTTGAAAACCGTTGCATTTGAATAAGTCTTGTAGCAATTGTTTGATGTAATTTGTAATCCCTTTCTTTATTTGAAATGTTTTAATGAAACTTGGATTAAAAATGGAAATTTAGTATTTCAAAAATTTACGAAATTCCTTATTTATTGAAATTAAATTAAAGGTATTACACGCTAAAGATGTTTGCAACCAATATATTAGCTACTAAGCATAATTTGTGGCTAAAAAAATTTGCAACCGAATGTCGTATTTTAGCCACTGATCTTGTCGGTTGCTAAATATTTTTTTTTGGTTGTATTAAGTGTTATAAAAATAGCATGTTATTACAATATTTATGCAAAAATGGCATAATATATTCAATATATTACAACGGTTCTAGGATCAAATGTTGTAATTGAGTATGCTATTACAGGTTTTTGTCTAATAAGCTGTAATAGATAAACTTTTTATATCACATGTTAAGTACTGTAATATTTTCTTTCACATAATTACATGGGAGGAAAATATAGAGCTGCAAAATATTATGAAAATATGTGCAAAAGCATCTAACGTAGCATTTTTGGCATAGTATCTCACAACAAAAGTAGGAACAACTTAGTTACGTATATCACCAAAGACTCCTATAATCGTTCCTTAAGCAATGTCGTTTTTGAACCCTTTCAATAAGTGAAGAAGGAGCTCGACCTTATTCTTATCATCCCACAAGCTTTTGTTTCTCGCATTGGTAGAATGATAACCCATGATGACAACGATAGTGGCGGGAAATTTGTAATTATTAGAAGTTTAATTTATTTTCATAAATAGTTGTTAAAATTTAATTTTTTTTTCTTTTAAAAATGATGGAATCTATTATCCATATTTACACAAGTAAAAATAGATTCACTTAAATAAAATGTCTTTTGCTTAAAATATAGTTTGCTCTAAATGATAACAAAATTGAAATTGAATTGTCTTATTTCTATATAATCTAGAGATGATTTGGTTATCAAATTTATCCCATTGTTTATTGACCATTTTATATAAAGTGAAAAAAGCTGTCAATTGTTTTTCTAAATTATATAAAGTTTGCTGGCTTTAATTTTTTTAATTTGGTAAGAAATAATTTTTTACTTCGTTAAAATTATGGTTATGACAGTTGATTTATTTCAAATTTAAATTTATTTATTTTTATTTAATTTTATGTAAAGGAAAAACACTTGACTAAAATTAGCGGTCACTAGTTTGATGTAGATCTTATTTTCAAGTAAATCAGTTTCTTAGGAATAATATGTTCATCATGCATTTTTTTTTATCAAGTAGATGAAGATAAATTAGTTACTATATAATTTCTCTACTTTAAATAAAATTTGAAATAATTTTTTTAAATATAACTTTTGTGGTACATTAATCAAATATAATTTAAATATTGGTTAAATTGATCACCATATCCCACTGGGTACATTACTGGAAGCCTCGATAACTATTACTAAAAAGGATTATGACAAACAGAAAAACACAAGATGAAACCATTGGGTTTCTGTTGGTCTTGAATTTGTTGGATTTGGTAATAAAATATAATAAGTATTGGACAGAGTGTAATAATAATACATCTTTATTTAATTGTTAAAATTATTATATCTATTTTTTATAAATTATATTTTTAAAATTAACTTTTTTATATAATATAAAATATTTTAGTGGATTGATCTATTGTGTGAATTAGGATCAAAACATTTAAAATATAGTTAAATTAATTTTTTTTAAGGTTAACGAAGTCAATGTACTAGTTTTAGCTCAATTTTAAGGAGCCTTTTTGGCTTGATTTCTAAACTTTTTATATTGTTGCCCTTCTTTTTTTTTGCTGAAATATTGTTGCCCTTTTGATTTTATGGATTTATTACCCTTAATCCATATGGTTGGGGTTAAATGGATTAAGATTAAGATTGATCTATTTAAAACCTCTAGGAATTCTGACAGAAAAAAAAAAAATAACACCTCAAGGTATAACTAAAATTTTGTCTCTTCATTGGTGTCCTTTAACTTCTTATATGCTTTCTGTTTGGTCTCATATAGTACGCATATATTACTTTGGTTTCCATTTTAATACATCGAATGTACTCATGAAATATATTTTTACTATTATTCATAGCTTTTACATTATAAAATCTTATCCTACTTACAACTTTGGAAGCGCTTGGCCCACATGAATTATTATGGGAAGCAACAAGAAGCCCCTCAATCAATATTTAAAACAAATAACTCTGCAAGCTTTGCATATAGCAATTCCATACATGGCTGGGGTTAGTGAAAATGGTTCTTTTTCTTTGTACACTTTGCTCTTGATTTCTTCACTTTTGTTATTGGCTTCCCAAACCCATGTTTCTTCTGAGAGAATTGCGAGGCCTCCCATTGTGAATGGACTATCATGGAACTACTATTGGATTTCATGTCCAAGGGTTGAAAGGATTATAAGGAAGCATCTTGAGGGTGTCTTCAAAAAGGACACTGGCCAAGCTCCTGGCATACTTCGACTCTTCTTCCATGACTGCTTTGCTCAAGTAAGACTTAGGAGAAATAATTAATCTACCCTAATTTAAAAGATAAATTAATTTAAGAAGAGAAAATTCTAACTGTAGTCAGATAACTGTGAATGCTAAATTTGATATTGGAATATGAAATAAAAAAAAAGTTTCTTTTATTTCAGAATGAAGCAATATCCCACTAAATAGTGATATATGGTGTCACTTGATTTGCATCGTAATATTTTGTGTGTGTTTTTATTTTTTAAATAAATTACACTTTACGCTTACATAATTTTCTGATTCTTATTTCATTCATTTTCTTATATTTCAATTAAGGTGTCATTTAACTTCCTTTAGAACTATGTTTTTGTATTGTTATGTATGCTATTGATGAGTGATTTGGATTGAATCAGGGGTGCGATGCATCTATATTGTTGAATGGGGTGGATGGAGAAGAAGATGAAAAGGAACACCCTGCCAACCTTGGCTTAAGGGAAGAAGCCATTCAAACCATTGAAAACCTTCGTGCTCTTATTCGTAAGCAGTGTCCAAGAGTTGTCACTTGTGCAGATATTCTTGTTATTGCGGCGCGCGAAGCCGTTCGCCAAGTAGTTATTTATTACCTATTTTTTTGTTTTGTTTCATCACATATGAGCTTGCTGTCTTTCTTTTTACATTTTTCAATAATGACATTAATACATATAAAATAATTTATATGAATTTAGATTGTTTTCTTTTTAATGATAAAATAAAAAATCTAAAATTTAATGCTCTTTTTATTGATATATTGTTTTTAAAATATATAAAAGCAATATAACAATCGCGCGATTTTAATTTTTTAAGAAGAATGTACCAAGTTGTTAATTAATTTGTGTCGGGTGTTGGGGCAAATTTTTTGAGATCATTAGCAAATTTTAACATTTTCACTTTACATTTATGACGTTTCATTTTTTTTAATATTATTTAGCGCTAGTCTTTTTAAGTTATGATGAGAAACTTAAAATCCCGGTAATAATATATGTACTAAATAACTTGTTAAAAAAAAAAACGCATTTGATAAAAGAATAAATCGTATGTGTTAAAAATTAAAAAAAAATATTTTATGCTCTCAACAAATCTCTTAAAAGACTGTTTATTATAGATGTATTATTCTTACACTCTTGTAAGTTATCAATAGTATTATAAGAATATTATTTTGAAAATTATATTTTTATTAAAATATAATAATTTAAACCTCATAATTTTCAAAATACTCAACCTCTTTTTTAATTAATTCCTAAACATAATACCCATGACCATAGAAACTTAATTATATAATTTTTTGAACTTTCACATCCCAGTATTGAGAACATTCTTTTGATCACTTTAGTTTGATTGGACTTTGTACAGTTAGGAGGACCCGATTTTGAGGTGCCTTTGGGAAGAAAAGATAGCTTCAATTTCAACGTAACGGCACCTGACAACCTTCCAGCACCATTCTTAAGAACCGATGAGCTCCTCGAAATTTTCGGAGGCAGAAACTTCGATGCCACAGATGTTGTTGCTCTCTCAGGTGCCCACACTTATGGTCGAGCACACTGTCCCTCATTATTCAACAGGACCATAGAATCAGACCCACCAATAGAACAAAACTTCAAGAACAAACTCGATTTGACGTGTCCCAGTGATGAATTCCCCAACACCGTTGATTTGGACATCAGAACTCCGAATAAGTTCGACAACATGTATTACATCAACCTTTTGAACAACCAGGGTGTGTTCACCTCCGACCAAGACTTGGCGAGTAACTTCAAAACAAAGGAGATTGTCAATACTTTTGCTTCTGACCAGAAAAAGTTTTTTGACAAATTTGCCGATGCTTTTGTGAAGGTGAGCCAATTGGGTGTTTTGACTAAAGATCGAGATGGGGAAGTTCGCAAGACATGCTTTGCTCCAAATAAGAGGAAATCTTCGGTGGCATTTGTGGTGGAAGAAGTGGTCGAATTGGCTGAGAAGCTTTGAATTGAGTCAGTGATAGTAAGCAAGGGGCTCTCTACCACACCACGGCCACATGCATGGTTTGAAATTATGTGTGTTTGATGTTTTGTTTCTCTACCGTTTGTACTGTGTGGAATAAGAGGCTTTGGAAGTTAACTGTGGTTGTGTGTGGTACTCTTATGATTATGAACTACTTGTTTTGAACATTTCTTTCTTTCTTTCTTTTTCTCATAATCTTGATCTTCGTGTGGAGTGGGGGGTTCACAGCAAATAAGGAGAACATACGTATGAGAATAATTGATACCGATATTACGCGTTTTATACAAAACACTGAATAATTGGACTAGAAATTGGTAGGAAAGGAAATGCTGATCAATTCAATATCTAAATTATCCAAAACAATCTGGAGCTTACAAATTAGCAAAAAGTTTTAAGAACAGTAATGAAATAAATTATAAATATAAAAATGAAGTGAAAAGAAATGAAAGCATAATGATAAATAATAAACTAAATCAAGTAAAATGAAATAGTAAAAGAAGAAGAAGCAATCTCATTAGAAAAGTATCTTTTATTTCAGTCAACACGACCATAGAGATCCAATGACATTTTACAAGAAATCTTACGAGTACTTTTTTTCTACTAAAATAGAATTTACATGCCTATTTATAAGCAAAAAAAAAATTTAACATAATTTTACAATAATATGGCACTTGTATTTAATACTCCTAAAAACATTTCGCGTATCATTTCAAAGATTAAATTGTTTTTAATTGTTATACACTTTGATAAGAATTTATTTAAGTTGTAGCCTTTTGTTTTCATATTTTGACCCACAATTTTGAAGTCTTTGACCCTTAATCAGAGTTATTTTAGTTGAAATTATCGTGGGTGTACCATCTCCACTATCGCTGAATTTAGTTCAAAATTCTTATTAAAAATACATAGAGAAATTACATTTAAAGACTATAACCAAAAAGATTAAATAAAAATTTAGTCTAATCAATTTTTTCAAAAGCTTTTCTTATCTTAGTTATCTTCAAAATGACACTAATGGAGTGTTTGGTATCCAAAAAATTTTTAAGTGAGATTTTCAAGAATATGTTTTTCGGAAATGTGTTTTCTGAGTAACTTGTTATCCATATATGTTTACTAAGTAACTTTTTTGAAAATATTTTTATTTTCTCCCATTTCCATGTTTGATATTAAAAAAACTTACCTGAGAATGTTTTTACTCTTACAAAAAAATCTTTAACTTAAATATAAGCCATATAAAGCTCTGCAAATAATGGCAACAGATAAACAAACAAAAATAAATAAATAAAGAAGGAGTAAAGTAGCGTAGGCAAATAATGACAATTGAGAGAAGAAAATCAACAAAAATAAGAGCATATGCTTACTAAAGAATAGAAGCAAAACAATTATAGAGGAGAGAGCGTGAGTGAGACCAGTAAAGTAGAGAGAATAGATAATGCAAAAATGATTTGAAATTGGTAAAGTGAAGTAGGGTAAAAGGGAACATTTTTGTCGAAAATTTTAGACCCTAGGAAAGTTGAATACCCACCCATTGAGGTGGAAACATGAAAATTTCAATTTCTTCACAATTCAAGTTTCTTGGGAATCTCATATTTTTAAAAATATTTTTTATTTTTTTGTATCTTATACCAAATATGAGTAATGAAACTTTTTAAGTAACATTCTTGAAAAAGTTAAAAAATTTCAGATACCAAACATCCCCTAACCAACACTCACCAAAATATTTGTCCTTGGAACAAAATTTGAAAATGATATTTTTATTTTTATTTTGGATAAGAAATAGTATAATATTCTTACTTTTTCAGTTTTTATCTACCTCGCTTTAACTTCTACCTCTAGATAAAGACTAATAACTAAATTCAGATATAGTGCGGTTATCACAAGAACTAGATATCCAGTTTGACTTTGCTTAAACAATTCTACGCTTGGCGAAGACAATTTTTTTCTTTCTCATGTTGTTCTCTCTTGTGAACTTTCAACTCCTCGACCCCTCTCTCTTTGCTTTCCCTTCCCCTCCTACTCTCCCTTTTTAGTCCGCTCTTGCTCTCTACTCCAAACACCCTCCATCTCAGCCTCTCCCTGCTAGTGGTGCTCATTGAGTGCGTGGATTCAGTGAAGTTTGTTCTTGAAGCCATATAAGAGATTTTTCCAGTGGATAAGAAAGAGGAGAAAGCTGGGAACAACTTGGGGTGGACTTACGTGCTTGTGCTTAAGTCTTTAAGAAGGAGGATGATTGAGATTTGAGGGGGGTGGAGGGACTGAGATATGAGATTAGGACGGAGCTGAGATCTGAGGGGGTAGGAGCAGAGTTGAGATTTGAAAGAGTCTCGTTGAGATTTGAGAGAGAGGCAAGGTTGAGATCTGAGAGGGGTAGGGGAGAGGGAGGGGGTTGAGATTAGTGGGAGTAAGGGAGAGGGAGTTGAGATTTGAGAAGGAGGGAAGAGGAGGAATGTGGGGAAGAGGAAAGGGCTTGAGATTTAAGAGGGAGGAGTGAAGGGTAAGAGAAGAGGCTGGATGTAGGTAAGGAGCTGTGAGGAAGGAGGTCAAGTGACGGTGGATGGGTTGAGAAGAAGGAAGGATAAAGGAGAATAGAAGAGGAAAGTGAGAGGTGCTTACTTTTTCGTTTAAGCAAATGGTCATTTCGCTTAAGTGAAAGTAAAACAGGACAGTCTTGTTCGTGCGCTACTAGAATAAATCCACATCCCTAATAACTTTGAGTTGCTTGCACATTCTCCAAAAACTTTCCATCTCTTTAATCAATTGATATATTCTTACTAAAAACTATCCCATAATCTTTTCAACTTACCATATAAGCCTTGTGGCACGGGGTCGTACACGTGTCAAAAATAAACCTAATTACTATAGCATGAGGAGAGCAACCAGGATCGTTTCCCAAAAGATTACAGAGATGAATTAATCTATTTGGAGAGTATGTAGGACGGGGGGTGATATAGAATCAATAGAATCAACAAAACAGAGTCAAAGTTGAAGGGATTAAATCAATTGGAAAAATACCTAATTCAAGAATCAAGAAAGAATAAGCAAACATTCAATCACGAAATCCCAAAATACATATTATTCAAATTCGGTGGTTAAAGACTAGATTCAATTGAAACTTCAAATTAAATCAAGCGATCACACGAAAACCTTCATGCATTTGATTAACACAAATTCAATTAAACTTAGAAACCTTAAAAAACCTAATCGAATGTGTTAACTTTCTGAACCACTTAATTAACCTTAATTTTTGAAAATCAATTCATGCACTTCAACTGAAACAAAACAATGAATTGAATTGCCTCTCAAAAATAAATCGAACGAAAACCTTTAGTTCATGATATTAATCAGAATGAAGAGAAACAAGAAACCAGGAAACCCGAATTCAAATATAAAATTTACAAATCGATTCTCATGAATGTTGCATTCTATTGATCCTTAAACTAGATAAATGAAACTACTCCTCCATAGATGGAAGCTCACGAAAAAGAAAAATCTCTAAAAAAAAAAGAGTAAAAAAAAAATGTATTTAAAAAGAAAAACTCCCATTCTTTTATTCAAATCTGACTTTTCAAAAATCCAGCAACAAATTGTAACTTCCTCCTTCAGATTCGCCTAGGAAATGCATCTGTTATGATTTGTAATTGATATTTCCTTCAAGCCACGGATGTTAGCTTTCAAATTCCACTAGAATGAGTCGAATCGGACATCTGTGAGCCAAGATATGACCCAAACACTGCACTAAGGTCTAGAATCCGCGAATTGCATCTTCCAGCCCAGTTTTGGTCCAATTCTGTTTCTGGATGCTATGATTCAGCCTTTAAATCTCTATGAGTGTTGTAGGCCTATCACTTAGCTTTCAAATGCAATTGGAATTACTCAAATCCAATAACTATAACCCGAGATATTACCTACACAATAAGCAAAGGTCAAAAGGCTCTAAAATCCGAAAATTAACAAAGTTTAACAATTAAGTCCAATAAAGCCCAATAATATAAAAATCTGCCAAAACAATATAATTAAGCACAATTCACAACTAATTAGGCTTATTACAAAGCTATCACAAGTGTATAAAAATTCATTGATCACCTTGTAAGATACAAAAGTATGAGAACTTTACTTTTTACACTTAACTTACTCTTTTTTTATTCTTATATTCATGTTCTTGCTTCCAAATCTCTTCCTACATCAATGGTGTAAAAAAAATCGTTTAAGTTCCTTTGAGCCTATCATCTAAGGAGAACTTTAGCCAATACAACATACTAGCCATGCTCCTTACCCCTAATTGAATAAGAAAACCAAGGTATTATCAAATTCTAGGTTAATTTCTACTGCCATTAAAGAAGGATTTTGTGTTTAGTCCTTTATGATTAAAAGGACCATTATTTCTTTATATTTTTTAAAGAAAAAACATCTAACTTATTCAATCACATAATATGACATTCTTAGAAAATTCTTCTATAAGATTTTTAGGTTTGTCTTTGCCTACAAGCCCTACAAGAAAAGTAATCAATGAGCGACTAAAATTTTTCATTGCAAAAATTTAGCACTTAATTTGATCCTAATTAATTTGAAAACAATAAAATAAAATTAGCAACTGAAGTTTTTAGTCACAAAATTCAATACATAATTGAGTCACTAAATAATAATATATATACTAAAAAAATTGGTTGAAAAAATTTGTTGCCTTATTCAATTATTAAATAAAAAAGAAATACCAAATTTTTTTATCACAAAAATTTAATCGTTAATTCTAAAAAAAAATTAGTAATAAAAAAATTTGATGACAAAATAATCATTATTAAAAAAGTATAGAAAAGTAAAAATGAATGGATGGTTTGATCCTTCCCATTTAACATCTAGAATTTTGGTAGAGGAAAGAATGACTTCAGGTGATAGTTGGAGTAAGATGAAATTTGTAATGGATCGAGATGGTAAAAACAATGTCTATGTGTTTAGGAGAAATGAAATTTCTTAAGTTATAATAATTTACT